TCCAATGGCGCTGAAGGCCCACTAGGCCCGCCATAGTTCACCGGTCGGTCGAAGAACGGCCTTGGTGGAGGCGGTGGCGCACTGGAGTAGTACGCTGGATAGTAACCCGAGTACGGATCGGAATAGGAGCTGTAATGGTAAGGCGGTGGCGAAGCCGACGGACTAGGAGCGGATGCTGGTAAAGTAGAGCTGTACGGCGACGGCGAGTATGACCTGAAGTCGCGAACAGGCGGTGGGGGCATAGAGGCACCTCCGTAAAAGTAGCTAGGAGGAGGGCTAATATGGTAATCTGGCGGCAAAGGTCGTTCTCGAACGGCAAGCTTAACACGGATCTTGCCCTGGGGACGGCCGGAGGGACGGACGAGCTGGAAGGTCCGGATTCGGGTCGAGTCGTCCTGATCGGGCAGGTCCTTGAGTGGGACCCTGAGAGTGCCGACTAAGGGCTTGGGAGTGTCGGAGGGTTTGGAGTGGAAGATTTCGAGGGTGAGGAAGGAGTCGTGGAGGGACAGGGTGAGCGGGACGGTGAATCGCTCGTTCCAGACCGGGCGGGTGGAGCCGGAGTCGTCGGACTTGGTGGCGAGCCGGCGGTCGGGGTCTACCCAGAAGACGGCGTAGGGCTTGAGGTCGCCGTTCTTCCAGTTGACGTTCTTGAGATGCTTGGCGGAGACGATCGTGAGGTCGAGATCGAGAGGCTTCTGCGGCGGAGGGCGGGAGGAAGCCATGGGATTAGGCGTCTCTGTGCTAACGTGCGCTAGTGGGGATGGTGCTGAGGGTCCCTATTATATTGGGTAAGAAGGATTGATGGGATTGTTGCTTTGTTGCGGGGGATGGTGCTAATTGGTATGATGACGATAATATACCTTCCTTTATATAGTAACTTTCTTAGCAAAAAGTAAATATTAAAATTACCGAGAGTAAACGCGCTTCTCAACTGTAAAGGAGTCCTTAGCAGGGCAAGTCCAGCGGAAGGGATAGCCCGGTGGACAGGGGACCGAATTAAACCAATCGTCTCCATTCCTTGCTCCAGCCCATGTGGGCAATTGGATTAAGGGGGCCGTGGGAGAGGGGAGCCAGGAGTTCAAAGTCAAGCGCTTGAGGGTTTTTTGATGCAAGACTGATGTCAGACACGTTATAAAAAAAATTTATGTCATGCGCGCGTGCATCACACGCGCGCGCGTGGGGTGAGTCACCGACCAGATTTCAGTCAGTGGGGCGTGCGGTTTGAATTCAAATATGTTACCGTTGTGGGTGCCACATGGCACCCTCAAAGCCATTGGATTTCATCAGATTTTTTTTTTGGACCGTTGGATTTCCAACGGTCCAAAAAAATTCAAACCACCCCCAACGGCTAGATGATGTGGCACAATCTCAGTCGTTGGATTCCGGATCAACGGTCCACGTTATTCGCCTTTAAAATAAAAAAATAAAAAAAAGAAAGAAAATTTTGATATGTTACTGTTGTGCCACATGGCACAATATAAAGGGTTGGATTTCAATTTTTCTTTAATCCAACGGCATAAATTAATTAAGTTAATAAAAAATGTAAAAAATTAAAAAAAAAATTAAAAAAAAAAAGATTTTATTTTTCTATAAATACCTTATAATTATCTTCCACCTTACATCACAATTTCATACTTTCTCAAAGATTGTAAGCATACTGTGACACGTGGCATGACGGGATTTGTTAAAAATTTTATCGGAATCTATCCTCAACAATTCTGAAAAGGTAACGACATGTGGCACAATGACATTGGATAAAAATCTTATTGAAATCTATCACCAAAAATTGTCCTTTCGGATAATGACACGTGGTGCAACGAAACAAATTAAAAATCATATCCGAAATTACAAATAAAATAATTTTTTATTATTTTATAAAATAAAAAATACTAATATTTTATTGCCTATTGTCATGGCTATTTAGTTAGGGGTGGAGATACAAAAGGTAATTACTGTTCATTAAAGACAGTTACTATTCACTGGAGGGGATTCGATAGGCAATTGGCCTAGGGGGCCTTCCTACACTAGAAGTGCTCTCACTGCATAGTCCCTAAATATAGGGACAAATGACTTCTAATGGGTCGGAATTGAAGTCCTCAAAGTATCTCAATAAATAGAAACTTTCCAGATACCTCAAAAGAATTCTCAAATATGAGGACTACACATAGCAACTCAAATAGCGGACTCCATATTAAATTTGAGTAGGAATAGTGTTGCTAATTATGTTTTTTTTCTTTGTTTTTTGAATCCACCCAAGTGGGGCAACTTCTCATTTGTCTTTTTTATTTTTTTTTAATTCTTGAAAAATCAATGGTAGAGATAGTTTTTTTTTTTTTTTTTTTTTTTTTAACAATGTTTATAATATTTCAATGAAATCAATAATAATTTCTTAACATTTTAGTCCCTATATTTAGGGATTATATTATAAGGAATTTTCATTATAGATAATATTCTTTTAGGGACTTGAATATTCCTCTAAAGCTCATAAATGAGTCCTCAAAGGTGGTGGTGGGATGCTTAGGGATTAAGAACTTTTCAGTTTGTAATAGTTATTATTATTTTTTAAACAATTGATATTATATACACTAAGAGGAGGGGATGAGCTTAGGTTGGCAAGCAATAATGTGGTTCAAAATCGCTTTTGACGAAAGTCGAACATAAGACCTCTCACTTACAAGTGAAGAAGAATATAATTAGACCAACGTACTAACTGGCAATAGTTTTTTTTTTTTTATTTTTTTTTTTAAAGGAGGACAACTAGTAGCGAATCACGATTATTTACTATTTTCGGGCTCGAAGAGGTTACGGGGAATTCAACCTACTCATGTCCACCGTCAAGCAGCATATAAATTGTACTTATTGGCTAACAAGCAATTACGTAATTTAATTACTTGACTGGATAAAATAAAATTCAGCATTTTTTTTGTTTGTTGATAGATGCATGAATATTTTGTGTGAAACTCGTTTGGAAAATTTATTACGTCATTACTATATATGCTAGCACTCTCCACATATATGCTGCCCAAATATTACTTTTACCTAAACATTTTCATATAAATTTTAGTATAAATGGTACGTAATTACTAGGTGACAACAAATTAGGTTTTGTTTTTTTTTTTTTTTTTGTCAAACAACAAATTAGGTATTGGGAGTTGGTTACTTAAAAAGTCACAATGCATGAACATTTCATATTGAAACTTCTTTGGAATTCGATCAAAAAAAAACTTCTTTGGAATTCGATCAAAAAAAGAAACTTCTCTGGAAAAATTATTAATCTATTACTATAACAATATAATTTAGATAAACGGTTATCTATAATCATTATATGTCAAATTTATTTGAGTGAATAACCGCAAATATTCATAATCGTGAATATTAACATGTCTTTTGTCGTCTACTAGTTATTTCATATTGAACTTTATTTGGAAAAAAAATATTAAGCTATAATCCTTACATGTCAAATTTATATGATGAACAATTGCGGATATTCATAATCGCAACTATTTTGCATCTCATGTGTCGTCTACTAGTTATTTCTAATTCTTGTGTTTTCTTTTCGAGGGAGTACATGCATCTTAATTCTGTTTGTAGATCTTTAGAATCTATCCAATCATAGGAGATTGAAAATTCCAGATTTAATTTGCTTGTTCAAATTAATTAAGCATCATGTGCATATAATTTTAGTTTTTTTTTTTAGGAAAACTAATGAAAAAGATTTCAAAACTTTGAGTTTTAACCAAAAGTCACCTAATAACTGTTATTTAATGATAAGAACAAGAGATAAAAAAACAAAAAAACAAAAAAACAAAAAAAAAAAAACTTATTCAACCCAAAGCGTGTGCGTACGTTAGCAGTGCGAAAGCAAGCATCTACCAATTCAACAGAAAACCAATAGTGCAAAAGCAGCACACAAATTACTTTTTAAATATTTCATCGGGAAGGAAAATGTTCAGAGAGAGAGAGAAAAGAGAATGCCAACCAAATTCATTCAAACTGACATTAACAAACCCAAAAATTTTATAGAGAGAGAGAGAGAGAGAGAGAAATTTGAGATAAAAAAAATATATTGCTAACATCAATACATGACTACCACTTAGCCCTACACGTGGGGTAGCATCTCATCATCACTCTGTGTTCAAATTATGGAATTCTTTATTAATTTTAACCCTAACCAGCTAAAATCTAAAGATAAAAAATATTAGATTACTTTCCTCAATGAAAGCACATTAGCTTTTCTGATCTTTCATTTATGCTTTTGTTGTTAATTTTGTATTGAATAAATTAAAGGGAATTCAAATAAAATGTTCGAATAATGTTAAGGAACAAATAGGAATGTGAAAATCATTATTCTAACTCTATAAGAATATAAATATTATTGTCAGTGATTCATATGATAATGAGAAGATAGCATCAAATTTTGAACCTTTTAGTGTTCAATTTAAAAAACAGTGATAGTGCTAGTGTTTAATTTTAAGAAATAGTCAGTGTTTAGTTTACGAAATAGTTAGTTTTTGGTTTAAGAAATAGACAATATTTAGTTTACGAAATAGTTATAGTACTAGCGTTCAGTTTAAGAAATAGTCAGTGTTCAGTTTAAGAAATAGTCAGTGTTCAGTTTAAGAAGTAGTGATAGTATTAGTGTTCCGTTTAAGAAATAGTCAGTATTTAGTTTAAGAAATATTGTTCAATTTAAGAAGTAGTCAATGTTCGGTTTAAGAAATAGTGTTTGGTTTAAGAAGTAATCAATGTTCAGTTTAAGAAATAGTGTTCTAAGTAGTCAATTTTCTGTTTAATAAATAGTGACAGTATTAGTGTTCATAAAGCTGAATAATGAAAATTTTCTTTATTTTTGATCTTGTAATATTATTACTTAGTTTGTTCTAAAAAATTGAAAGAATAGTCAAATAAACAAATAAAAAAAATTGTTTATAGAGTGAGGTGAAAAGGGAGAGAAGAGTGGGGAGAGGTGAAAAAAAGAAGAAGAAGAAAAATTGATGTGGATGGGTGAGGTGAAATGAGAGAGAAAAATTGATAGGAATATGTGAAAAAGGGAGAGAGAGAAAGAGATTGAACGGTTGAGTGTGGAAGAGAATGTGAATGTGTGTGATGTGACGCGTGGTTCTGCGTGTCAGAATGTGTTGGCTGTTTTTTTCTTTATTATTATTATGTAAAACTTTTGTCATTTTCATTAAAATTTGAATCATTTTTATTAAAGTTTGTAGATTGTTTTGGTTAATTAAAAGTTTTGAGAAGCCATTTTCATTAAAGCTCTTTTTTTTTTTTTTTTTTTTTGTATCAAGAAGTCCAAAATTGCAATTAGGATAAAATAAATTGTATGAGTACATCTAGATAAGTAAGTCACCCTCATCAGATTTAATGAGGAACTATCTAACTAATTAGGTTACTCATCTAAGCTTATATATTGACCAAGTTTCATTGACAAAAAAAAAAAAAAAAAAAAGGGTGTCCTTCAGCCTTCAGTGTCCTTCGCTCTTTACCAGTCCAAACTTCCCTTTTTTTTTTTCTTTTTTTTTTTTTTTCTGGTTCATCTTCGGTAACAGGATTCTAGTCCTGCTCACACTGGATATCCCATTGGAGGTTCCTAGCTCAGACTCGTCTTTCTTCAGGATCTTCACGTGTAGAGATCCCCATTCCAAAAGATTGGTGCTGAGTTGGAAATTCACTTGTAGATTCCGTTTAGGGTTTGGCAACTGTAGACAAACTTCGACTCGTACTCTTTGCCAGGTTCCACCCGTAAGACAAGTTGATAGACCCTATTAGTACAACATATCGTACTATAATTAGGGCCATCGAGACCTTTGGCATGGTAGATGTCAACACTCAGGACGACTTTTTGGTCCAAGTATGAGTGTTTTTCTTGTTCATCATCCTTGTTTGTCATCCTTTTCTTCTTTAGAGCTCTGTTGTAGTTATCTACATCATTGTTCATCCTCCTTGCCATGGTCAAGCTGTATAGAAAAATTAAAGACCTAATAGAAGGGATAGAACAAAAATGAGAGAGAAAAACCAAGCAAAAAGAAAGCTAGACCCTTTTCTGCAAAATAATATAATTACTTGAACGTATTTGGTACTACACGCCGAAGAAAAATTAAAATAAATAAATAAAATACAAAATAAATTAACTTATGAACAAAGAAAAATCACAAGAATCAGGGATATAAAGCAACATATAAAAAAAAATCAAATTAATTTACAAATTGAATGATGGAGGCCATTTCTATGCAAGACTTCTTGTGTAGGTATATCGTAGTACATAATCCATGTCGGTCACTCAGATTTTTATGAAGTTCTATAAACTCTTTTAAAATCTTGATTGATTACCTATGTTCTTTTATGGATTCATTTAAAATTTTTATTAAATACATATGGATTTGTAAACTCTTTAACAAATATTTACTTTTAATTAAATACACGCTCCTAAAACAAAACACGATATACAAATTTCAATGGACTTACCAAAAAGAGATGGGACTGGATATAATAGTGTATTCCTGTTTCTCCGCACAATGTTTGAGAACTCTCTCACCCTGTTCGACGAAGATAAATAGGTGCTTTGTAAGTAAGATAAGATTTAACAGTCTTTAAAATAATAATTCTTAAAATGACAGTTACAACTTTTTTTCCAAGTATTTTCTTTTAAATAAGCTTCTTAAAAATAAAAAATAAAAAATAGGTTTCCATCGTTGGATCAGATACCAACAACCAAGATATGCGAATACATGCTAGTGCGTGCATTGATAAACATGTACTCGTCAGTTTTAAACCTTAATAGAAAAGAAATTGACGAATAAGACAACAAATTCATCATGTCATTCAGTGCCAGTTAATAATTGTTTGACCGTGTTCTCGTAATTCATTAATTAAGGACAAAGGTACCAATGAACTAGAAAGGTGATGGACCATGGGCCTCATGCCTTGATCCAGTACACGCGGTTAATTAGATTACAACGGTGCCAGTAATGAATTATCTTAACAAATATGGCAACAACTTACAATGTTACCTTCAAAACTACGTGTTGGTATGAGTCGTTCTCTTCTTCTTCTTCTGCAGATTTCCTCTTTAGGGCTTGCCGGTGTGAGTCGTGCTCTTCTTCTTCATCTGAAGATTTCATCCTTGTCGCAGCCAAACTGTATGAAAAAAAAAAAAAAACAAGAAGAGTTTGTTTATGAGTCGAAGATGAAAGTTGATGCATGTATATATAGGAAATACTGGCGTCTAGGTCTGGCATGCTGGCTATGGCCGCACCTTAAGGCATTGCCAACGACCACTCATACATGGCAATCTTTGATTGGTCACTTCATGTCTAAAATACACAGTGATTGGTCAACTATGTCACACTCACTAATTAGGAAAATTACGTGGCAATAATAATGTTTTACCTAAGATTTTCCACATATAAAATTGAATATAAATTGTACTTATTGGGCAATTGACAAGCAATTAGATAACTACATGACTGGATAAACAAAAATGCACGGATTATTTTGTTTGTTGGATGATGCATGAATATTTTATCTGAAACTTGTTTGGAAAATTTATTACGTCATTCATTACTATATACGATGGCATTCTCCATATATGCTGCCCAAATATTAATTTTACCTAAACATTTCCATATAAATTTCAAGTATAAATGGTACGTAATTACATTGAATTTTCGTATCCATACTTCTTTGGAAAAAAATATTAAGCTATTACTACAACAATATAATTTAGATAAAGATTATCTATAATCATTACATGTCAAATTATTTGGGTGCATGAATAATCGCAAATATTTTGCATGCCCCTTGTCGTCTTTATTATGTTTTTAGATCTTTGGTTAGAATAGGAGATTGAAAATTCTAGATTTAATTTGCTTTTTCAAAGTACTTAAGCATCATCTGCATATAATTTTGGTTTTTTTTTTTTTTTTTTTTTTTGGTATCGAGAAGTCCAAAACTGGAATTTGGGTAAAATAAATTGTACGAGTACATCTAGATAAGGAATTCACCTTCATCAAATTTCATGATGAACCATCTAACTAACTAGGTTAGTCATCTAAGCTTATATATTGACCAAGTTTCATCGACAAAAAAATGTGTCCTTCGGCTTTCAATACATGCCCTTCGGTTCTTGTCAGTCCAAACTTGCCTTCCTTTTTCTGGTTGATCTTTGGCAATGGGATTCTAGTCCTGCTCACACCGGATATCCCATTGGAGGTCCCTGGCTCGGAGTTGTCTTTCCTCAAGATCTCCACGTGTAGAGATCCCCATTCTAAAAGACTGGCGTTGAGCTGAAAATTCACTTGTCGATTCCATTTAAGGTTTGGCGATCCATAGACAAACTTCGACTCGTACTCTTTACCTGGTTCAACCCATAATACAAGTTGATAGACCCTATTAGTACAACATATTGTACCATAATTAGGGCCGTCGAGGCCTTCGGCATGGTAGAGGTCAACACTCAGGACGACTTTTTGGTCCAAGTATGAGTTTTTTTCTTGTCCATCGTCCTTGTATGTCATCCTTTTCTTCTTCAGTGCTCTGTTGTAGTTATCTATATCATTGTTTATCGTCCTTGCCATGGTCAAGCTGTATAGAAAAATTAAAGACCTAATACAAAGCATAGAACAAAAATGACAGAGAAAAACCAAGCAAAAAATAAAAAATTAGACCCTTGTCTGCAAATAAATAAATAAAATTATGTACTACACACCAAAAAAATAAATAAATAAAAAATATATAAATACACAATAAATTAACTTATGAAGATTGACATCATGTTCTACCAGTCACAAATTCTACTGCTATGTGAATGTGAGTATAAGAGATACAAATCCAATGTGAAAAAGAAAAATCGCAAGAATTAGAGATGCAAAGCAACATATAAATAAAATCAAATTAAGTTATAAAAAAATTGACGGAGGCTTTTTCTATGCAAGGCTTACATCGCACTATATAATCAGACTAATCAGTGTCAGCCATTCATATTTTTATGAAGTTTTATAAACTCTTTGAAAATCTTGATTGAATACCCATGAACTTCTATGAATTCATTTAAGATCTTGATTGAATACGTATCTACTTGCAAAATCTTTTACAATAATTTAAATGCCTAATCGAATACACCCTCCTAAAACGAAACATGATATTCAGATTTCAATTGACTTACCAGAAAGAGATGGCGACTGGGTACTGTACTTTTCGTTTCCCGACACAACGTTTGACAATTCTCACCCTGTTCGGCTAAGATAAATAGGTGCTTTGTAGGCGAGATAAGATTTGACGGTCTTTAAAACATTCTTAAAATGACAATTACAACTTTTTTCCAAGTATTTTCTTTTAAATAAGATTCTTAAAAAAATAATTATCGGTTTCCGTCTTTGGGTCATATACGAACGGTCAAGATATGCGAATACGTGTTAGTGCGTGCATTGCGAAACATGTCCCTCGTCATTTTTTAAACCTTATTAAAAAAGAAATTGACGAATAAGACGACAAATTTAGCATGCCATTTAGTGCCAATTAATAATTGTTTGACCGTGCCCTCATAATTCATTAATTAAGGACGGAGATACCAATGAACTGGAAAGGTAATGGGCCCTGGGCCTCATGCCCTCATCCAGTACACGCGGTTAATTAGCTTACAATGGTGCAAGTGATGAATTATCTTAGGCCTCATTTGGTGGACAGAATGTGATAGTTATTTTCAATTAAATTGGACTTGTAATCCAGCCAATGTTTGGCAAGAAAAATTGTATCACCGGCTGGATTGGCTACAAATTCGAAATAAGGAAAAAATGCGATAGGTTATGTAATTCAATCATACACATGGATTATGTAACCCAAAATCTCATCCTTAAAGCTCAATCTCATTCAGTCTACCAAACAAACCCTTAATGAATATGGCAACAACTTACAATGTTACCTTTAAAGATTCATAAAACTTAACACTTGGTACGTATCAGTATGTAATTCAGTGACAATGACAAACATGAGCATATGACGTTTTGTAGCAACAATAACAAGTATTTTGGTCCAACATGTTGCTTAAGCTTTTGGCTGCTGGATTTGGCATCTTGTTTGTACGCCATTTGGCAGTTGTTTATTTGTATGCACTAATAATCATGTCATTTATAAATTATTTGTGTGGATGATATAAACTATTTCTTTAGCGCTTCTCATACAATTAATTTAAGCAGTAAAAACATTAAAAAGTTATTTGATAATTATTTTATTTTTATTTTATTTTTTTAAACTGAAAACTCGTTTGGTAATTACTTACAGTTTTAAAGTTGAAAGCCAAATTTTGAAAGTAGTTTTCATTTTTTAAAACTAAAACTTGAAAATGAGATGGTTATCAAACGACTCTCAAATATATAACTTATCTTACGAGAGTGGCAATTATCTCTTCTATATTTTATTTTCTAAATACTTTATCCTTTATTTTTTTTACTAACTTTTTTTTAATAATAATTATAATAATAAATTCATTAAAAAGGCCATTATGGGATGTGGTTGTTTCTTTTCAAAATTTTAATTAAATTGTTATTTTTAAAAGTTGTAAGAAGATAGGAGCATTTTTTACATTAATAAATGTTTCACTAATTTTTATTTTATATTTTTTTAAAAAGAGGGGACAACTGGTGGCAAGTTACGGTTATCAATCCCTTCCGAGCCTAGAAAGGCTATGGGGAATTTCACACACAGTTAAGCAAACTCACTAGTTCGAAGCCTCAAACACAGGACCTCCCACATTTTTTTTTTATTGGGGAGTCACAGTCCTAATAAATAACATTTAACAAAAAAAAAAAAAGGCTAAAATGGTTAAAAAAACAAAAACAAGGGTAGAGTGGTCAAAAACAAAATATTAAAAAAAAAACAAGAGTGTCGGCAGACTTACCCTAATGTTTTATTTCCCTATCTACATTATAATTTCACCCGTCATAAAAGTTAAAAAATTGAATGCTACTTTTTCAACCACTATTATTCCTAAAATAACCTCTAATATATATCTAAATTCTGTTTTAATTTTTCAAAAGAATAATATTATAATGCTGATAAGCCAAACCGAGCTTTAACTCACCACCATGCCTTCTTTTGTGATTTTTATTTCGGTTAGAATTCTAGAATTCGATCACTTCTTAGATCTCTAGCCGATTGTAATTCTCCTTCCTTCACTCTCTCCAAACTCCCAACGCAACCCCCTTCCAAATTCCACAGCTAAACCTCAAGCCGCATTCCCAAAATTTCACCCTCATGCCCATTTTCAAATTCGCGACAACCCAATCCCAACTCTTCAAGCCCAATTTCTTTTTCTCGTCTTCCATTTCAATTTTAAAATTTTAAGTATTATTTTATTAAAATGTTTTAAACAATAATTATTGACACACCCCGATCGAGATCATGGCATGCTGGCCGTCACGTGGAAGTGACGTAACCATGTGCACAGTGCGGAAGCTAATAAATAATAATAAAAGTACGAATAAATAAAAACCCAGCTATACATAAAGTAATAACATACATGTGCAAGCTTAAGTGTGAGAACAAAGTTCAGAGCATGGAAGACCTAGTGCAGTCCGGGAGAAACAACACTAAATAAACACACCCAAATGTGGTCCTACACTGGTGATAATATGTCAGATAAGCCGGGAAAATCCTCTAGGGAGCCACCAAAAGCGCTAGCCGAACTAGAACTTGGAAGGGCGCAAAACAAAAAACGTGAGTGGGCAAAAACAAAGCTTTTCGAAAACCATTTCATAAACAAAGTTCTAACCCCTCGTCGTAAAACCTATATACTTCCCAGAAAAATAGAATATATACATATATATATAAATCATGCTCGGAAATATGCCATGTCACATGCCTCGAAATAAAATGCAAGTACTCAGGTAATGCCAAACAATGCCATGTAATCTGTCAGTCGGAGTCACCTAACGTGACTTGTATGACTAAATCTAGAGCTCAAATCTCCAACTCACTGACTATACCTGTACACGAGTCGGAACCACCTAAAGTGGTATGTACGACATGACTGGGTGTATAATAAGTACGCTCAAGTGTTACGATCACGTGAAGACTGGTCGAATAATCGCGGGTCATCTACGAGTCGGAACCACCTAAAGTGGTCTGTATGACAGGACTGTGCACCTAACTTGGATCCAAGATGAGCGTGTGGTGCT